AGATGTGTTTCTCATTATTTTGGTAATTGCATTTCTTCTGTAATCCTATTTATCTTATGCATGCATTATTCTGCGAAGGGGTTCCTTAGACTTCACCATATTGCCAGAGGTGACCACAGCATAAAAAAGGCTAAGAGACACTGCTCTGAAGAGTAACAGTAGCTAACATTTACATAGCTCTTGCTAAAGGCCAGATACTGTTCTAAGTACATTTTTTTTCCTTACATAGTTGACAACTCATTTATTCCTAACAACACTACAAGGTAGGTGCTTTGATTATACCCATTTTAGGGAAGAGGAAACTGAAGCACAACAGTTAAGTAACTTTCCCAAGGTCATTCAGCTAGTAAATGATGGAGCTGAGACTCAAACCTAGGCCTTCTGGCTTCAAAGTCTGTGCTGAAAAGTCAAGGAATTGAATTGGTAGAATGCCAAGGGGCAAATGGGTTGAGGGTGCTGGTGAGAATGGATAAAGAGAGAGGGGGAATGAGAGAGGGTCTACACCAGCCAGAAGAAAAGTAGAGAGAGGCTGCTAGGCTGGAAGAAAATGGAAAGGCCCACAGAACAACAAGGTTCAAGGAGATAAAAGAAGTGGTGGAGAGGAGGAGACCCAAGATGACTAGGAGAACATGGTCAGAGTGACAGATGGTGGTGTGTAGATGCTGGGGAGGTGGGGGAGTCATTCCAGGGCATGACAAGGTTAATAATGTGGCCTAGACAGAAGTGGTTAAAATAGAGAGGAGGTGAAGGAGTCGAGCAGATGAAGGAATCATGAAGCTGGGGCCACAAATTCTCCCAAGATTGATTGATTGATTGATTGATTCATTCATTCATTGACATTGAGTGTCTAGTACATGCCAAGCAGTGTTCTTGGCATTGGGTAGCCAAGAAGTGAACCAGCAGGACAAGACTCTGCTGCCATGGGGCTTACCTTCCAGCAGGAGGAGAACTACACAAACACGCACACAAACAAGGCCGGGTTAGACAAGGCTCCAAAGCCTTCAGACACAATTCCATAATCCCAAAAGTTCTGGAAAGCATAAGGTTGTGTTTTCATACTTTGGAGCCCAAACTCATTAGGTGACAAAACCTGACCTGAAGTAGCATGAGGGTATTTATCACCTTGATTCACGCTTAGTGTGAATTTTCATACTTTTCACTCTAGAAATATTAATGTTTAACTATAAGTGGTACTCCAGACCTTTCTCAATAGTTATGTAATATAGAGTATATGAAGTATATAGAGTTATGTAATATAGAGTATATGTCTTCCTTTCTAAAATTGAAGAAATTCTGAATTCCAAAACACATCTGGCCCCAAGCCTGGAAAAAAGATTATGGACCTGTAAGTGCTATGCAGAGAATTCAAATATGCATTGGAATAGTGACTAGGTGGCTACACCTTGAGGGGTCAGGGAGGGTAGGTGACATTTAAGCTCAGTTCTGAATGACCACCACCACCAACAACAAAAAGGCAGTCATATAAAGATCAGGGGGAGAGCATTCCAAGCAGAGGGAATAGCTAACGCAAAGATGAAGACAAAGAAGCCACTGTGGCTGAAGCATATTGGGCCTGGTGAAGAGTGCTATAAATTGCGGGGAGGACTTCATGTAGTCAGGAAGATTGTGACTCTGCCGCTAAATCCTTTGATGAATATGGTGTGACTATGAGTGTGATGGTTGTCAACAAGTAGGAGAACCAGAAGGAAGTCTTCTTGGCTGGGAAAGCACATGGGGAGATACTTCGGATAGAAGAAACATAAAGCTGTATGGGGCTGAAAATGTAGCCTAAGATTTATGGCCTGAAGAACTTGGTTTGGGGAAGAGTATGGAAAGAAGTCAGATTAGGTGGATTAGGTGGACTCAGGACTCTAATTGGGATGCTGGTTGAAAGATGGTCTAGGATGACCAAAGACCTGGGTCTTAAATGACAGTCTCTGGTTGAAGACCAATCTGCGATGTGTGATCTGGGCCTTTGAGTTTAAATTAGGTTAGACACAGACAAAGGACAGTAGTAAAGGCTGAAATGATGAAAGATGTTTTTGCTTCTGTTTGTGCCTCTCTGGGCTTGTGCTTCTCAGCAGCTCTGTCTCAGAATGTCTGTCTCCTAGCATCTCTTGTCTTAGTGGCTTTCCACATCCATATCTCTGTGATCCCGTCTGATGTCTCTGTTCCTCTCTATCTCTGCCTCAACCTATTTCTCTCTTGTGTGGCTCTCAGAATCTCCATCTTTGGATATCCACGTCAGTGTCCCAGCACCTGGTTCTCTGTCCCTTCCTTTGTCTGTGTCTGTACTGAAATTATCTCTTTTCCCAACTGAACTATGCCCTCCTGGAAAGCATGAACCTTTTATTATTCCTCTGGGTATTCCCAGTGCCCCGGCAGAGCCTGGCATATAGGTGTCTCTCAGATTTGTTTATACATAGATATGTTTGAATGAAGGCTTTTTCTGAGGCGTAAGGAACACAATCTCCTGTCCCCCTTTCCCCTCTCCCCGCGGAGCTGGCCACCTGCCCAAAGGCCAGCTAGAGAGTGGGGCGGTATTATGCTGCTGCTATTGGGTTCTTTCCCCAGGTGAAGAGACAAGCAACGCTCTTCGGGCACCTTGCCATGGCCTCGCCCTCTCGGCAGGGGACAGGAGCAGTAGACACGGTCTAGAACATCCTGCGCAGCGGACCACCCGCCTCGCCGGCCCCGCCCCACGGCTCCGCCCCAGCCAATCAGCGAGCGCCACACGGCCCACTTTGTGGAGAGGCCAGCGCAAGATGGCTGCTGTGTGTCGGAGCGTGAAGGTAGCTGGGTCTTATCTCCTGCTGCTTGCTCCGCTGTACCGGCTGGGACGTCGCGGCGGTGGAACCAGGGGGAAGGATCGGTGCTGGGAGAAAGGGTCACGCTTGTCTAGGCCTGGTATTGCGGCGATTGGGCTCGGGAGGTGAAGGTCAACTGTCCGCGGCGCATGTATGTGGGGTGACTGGATGGGCTAAAAATGAGACACCCAGAGGTCCCATCGGTAAGGAGAGGAGGCACACCTGGGTCACTCTGCAGGGGTGACCAGGAGCCTTCCTCACAGAAGCCTGGAGAACGGGCAGATGAAAGGGTGGGGGTGGTCTGCAGAGTGTAACCCTTGACTGTGCCTGTCTTCACAGGGTCTGGTCGCCGTCATAACAGGAGGAGCCTCGGGCTTAGGCCTGGCCACAGCGGAGCGACTGATAGGGCAGGGGGCGACTGCTGTGCTTCTGGACCTGCCCAACTCGGATGGGGAGGCCCAGGCCAAGAAGTTAGGGAAGAGCTGTGCCTTCGCCCCAGCCGATGTAAGTGGAGTCACTTCACCCCTCCCAGGGTGTGCATGAGGTCACGGACACCTGCCCGGGAACCCGTGGGGTGCTCTCTCATAAGAGTGTGGGCAGTGGACCCATCTCCTTGCCCATTTTGGCCTGAACCGTCTGTCAAGCACTGTGGGAGCACCTGTGATGGAAATCTCTAAAGCAGGGATTCACAACAGTGGGGATGGGACATATCAGAATCTCCTGGAGGGGGTATGTATAGTTTGAAAATGCATATTGTACCCTGTAATTTTATATTTACAAAGTCAAAAAACTTCTCATGAAACAAACTACAGAAAGTAAAGCTTGATAAAATCATCTTAGCAGGTAGGGGTACAAAAAAGTTAGTTTGTCTTTCTATCAATAATTCTCAAAACTGCTCTGATCCACAGCGATTGAGAATCTCCAGGAGTATGTGAATTTATCAAAAGAGGGTATAGATTTGAAAAATGTTTTGAAACAGTGCTTTATATTACCTGACATTTTCACCTTTGTCCCACTCTGGAATTTTCTCTCTTGCTTACACAATTCTGTTGTCACTCAAAGACTGGACTACCCCCCCTCCCCCAGGTTTAGTGGTGACTGTGTGTGTGCTGGGAGGTGAATACCTTCTCCACTTCTCCCTTTGAAGGTGACCTCAGAGAAGGACGTGCAAGCAGCCCTGACTCTAGCAAAAGAAAAGTTTGGCCGTGTGGATGTGGCAGTCAACTGTGCAGGCATTGCAGTGGCCATCAAGACATACAACTTAAAGAAGAGCCAGGCCCATACCTTGGAGGACTTTCAGCGAGTTCTCAGTGTAAGGCCTTGGAGGTTCTCCAGGGTAGGAGTAAGAGGTATCTGGCTGTGGGTGCCCCCAAGACTAAAGGCTGCCTTTGTGTCAGGTCTTACACTATGTCTCTACTGGTCCTCCAGGTGAATCTCATAGGCACCTTCAATGTGATCCGCCTGGTGGCTGGTGAGATGGGCCAGAATGAACCAGATCAGGGAGGCCAACGTGGGGTCATCATCAACACCGCCAGCGTGGCTGCCTTCGAGGGCCAGGTGTGTAGGCAGGAGCAAGGCTTGTGCCTACTCGGTGACTTGTTGGGATCCTCCCACCTATGATCTCCACTCCTTTTCCAGGTTGGACAAGCTGCATACTCTGCCTCCAAGGGGGGCATAGTGGGCATGACACTGCCCATTGCTCGGGATCTGGCACCCATGGGCATCCGGGTGATGACCATTGCTCCAGGTAGACATATCCCCTCCCTGCCACACCTGGGATTGGGTGGGATTCATGGGCAATTGAGAGGGGAAAGTATCCACCACCTAAGCAGCAGCAGCCTTCCATCTGTGGGCATAGGGAAGCACCACAAATAGGGCTAAAGTGAGGAGGGACCAGGTAAATGTGAAAGCAACGGTGGTCCTCTGACTCTGGCTGTCTTGTCTAGGCCTATTTGGCACCCCACTGCTGACCAGCCTCCCAGAGAAAGTACGCAACTTCCTGGCCAGCCAGGTGCCCTTCCCCAGCCGACTGGGCAGCCCTGCTGAGTATGCTCATCTGGTACAGGCCATCATTGAGAACCCATTCATCAATGGAGAGGTCATCCGGCTGGATGGGGCCATCCGCATGCAGCCTTAAAGGGAGAGGGCAGAGAAAACACATGCTCCTCTGCTCTTCCTTCCCCTGGAGTACTATACTCCAGCTTGGGAGAAAGCCCAGTAGCCATTTTGTAACTGCCCATTAGTCACCCTCTGTGCCTAATAAAGTCTCTATTTCTCACAGGGAGTGGGCAGTGCTGTGTGCTGAAGGAACTGGCATGGGGAAGAAAGGTGAATGGGTGAAGACTCTGAAAGGGTTGGATGCTCAGAGCCCAGGGGTAGGGTGGGAAAGGCAGTACCTCACACATTTTGTGTCCTATTACAACACATGGCCTTGATTTTAGTGAATAACTTTATTACTTAGGGTTGAAGGTGGGGGTATTGGCTCAGCTCTCTCCCTCTGGGGAATGGATTGGGGAAGGGGGTCTGCAGCGTATTCCTCTCTGACTCCTGGCCTCTGTGAGCTTGAAGGGGGAGGAGGGAGAGATGACTATCCTGAGCTCAGCGGCTGCTGGTGTTGAACTGTAGATGATATTGGGCTGTAGGTTGATTGGTGTAGATTATTGAATTCAGATAATTCTGCCTGTGAAAGAAGTCCAGAGGCCTCAGCTGATGGGCTTTCCCTCTCTCCCTGGCCCTTGCCATCCCTCCCCACTCTCCCTTGGCATTCATCCCTGCTGCCACCCCCTAGAACTCACTGGGCATTTTGCTCCTTAGCCAGCTGCTGGTTGAAGGAACCCAGCCCTCTCCGAAATTCAGCACACAGTTCCCTCTCCTGCTCTTCTAGCTCCATTGCTGCCTGGGCTGAGCGCATGGCCTGGCTTTCCCATTTGGCATCCAGTGCTTGTTCAGCCTGGCGCTGTGCCTCCTTTTCAGAGCATTGTGCCTCCTGGACTTTCCTGATGGCAGCTCGCTGCTCTGGAGTCATGCCCTTCCAACAATAGGGCAGGACCCGGTGGGGAGCCATAGGGTGTTGGGCGACCTGGGGGTTCTCAGTCAGCAAGTCGCTCATAATCTGGTTCTGGATCTCCATGAGGTTGGCCTCCTGTTCATGCTGATGCTCACGGCACTGCCGCTCAGCCAGCTCAGCTGCCTGGTGGGGCCCCCGAATGTAAGCATTTGGGTGCCCAACGTCAGGGAACTCTCAGTCACAGGGGAGGGGGAGACACGGCCCTACTCTCCTCCATCTCAGGGAGAAAAGGAACAGATATTGCATGGCCTGTGAATGACCTAAGGTGGAGGAAGGGGTGGAATGTGCAGGTAACTTCCCTGCCTTCTGGAAGCCTTTAGACTGAGAGGCTGGGGAAGGGAGGGCAGTGTTCTGTTCTTAAGTCATCCTGAGTCTGGAGGTAGGGAAGGGCATCTTCTGCCCTAAGGGGGCCCTTAGGTGAAGGGGTAAGTCCTCCGGTAGACGAGAGGGCTGGTGTTGATTTGAGCAAGATTGTGAGGGGGAAGATGTGGCCAAGGTTCCCCAGGACTTTGTTCAGGGGGTTGGGGAGAGCCCAGTGCACTGGATGGCTCAGGCCCTACCTGGGCTTTGTTGGCGTTGGCCATGGCAGACATCATGGCCACACGACAGGACTCCTCCAGCTTGGCCAGCTGGGTGGCCCGCATGTCCATGGCTAGGCGCAGCTGGTCACTGAGCATATCTACACAGAGAAATATGGCCAGGGCACTGTATTGGCCTGCTCCATTCCTGGTTCACTCATTCAGCCATTTGTTCAACAAGCTTTGTGGATGTGTGTGTATGTATGTTTGGTGGTGGGCTGGTTAATGTTCTAATTGTAGGGATGTAGAAGGAGCTACTCTTGGGGGCTAGGGATAGCCAAAGTGGCAACAACAAGGATTTCTGAAGTGCCTAAGTGAAAGATGCCTCCAATGGACCTGGGTCCCAGTGCCAGCTCTGTTGCTTCTGAGCTGTGTGACCTTGGGGAAATCATTTCGTCTCTCTGAGGCTTAGTCTAAGGGCTATGTGTTGGGCTCTGAGGACACCACAGACTTAGATCCTGTCCTCAAGAGAGCTCCCTGTCTAGTGGGGGAGATGGATCAAAGATAGATCATCATACCACAATGTAGTAAGGGCAGTGACAGAGATGTGTACAGGGCATTATGAGAGCTTTGGGTGGTGGGTGAGAGGAAGGCTTCTGGGAGAAGGTGACCCTTGCAATACATGTTGCATATAGGCAGAAAGAGCAAAGGGCATTCCAGTCTGTGGGCACAGCATGAACAAAGGTATTGACACTTTGTTTCAATCCAGCCATACTGGTCTCCTTGCTGTTTCTAGAACATGCCAGACACTCCTGCCTCAGGGATTTGCAATAGATGTTACTCTTGGCTCACGCTCTCTTGCTTCAATCAGGTCTTTGCTCAAATGTTATGGCTTCAGTGAGGCCTTCCCTGTCTCTCCTACCTAAAATTGCAACCTGCCTGCCCCTAACATTTATCTCCCTTCCTGATTTATTTTCTCCCTAGAATTTGTCACCATCAATATACTCTACGTTTTACGTTATTATTTTGCCTCTTGCCTGTCCCTTTCCTCATAGAAGTTTACCTTTGTGAGGGCAGGGATTTTTGTCTGTTTTATTCACTACCATGCCCCAGCACCTAGATCAGAACCTGGCACATAATTAGGTGCTCAATAAATATTTGTCAAATGAATGAAGGAAATCAAGAAACAGCATGGTCTGTATCTTAAACTACAAATAGTCTGCTCTTGCTGGAGCATAAAATGAGTGGCTAGAGGGCTTTCCAGGGGCCAGACTAAGGGCCAGAAACTTGACCTAAAGGTGGTGGGGAACATGAAAGGATTTAAAGCAAGGGGGTAAGACGGGTAGATTTGCATTTTAGAAGGCTCCTTCTGGTAGCCAGTATAGAGGACAGTTAGGCTGGTGGGAGACAATGGAGGTAGGGAAGCCATCTTAGAGGCTATTGTAGTAGGCCAGTTGGGAAGGCTCAAACCAGGCCAGTGATGGAAAGAATGGAGGGGAAATATATAGGAGGTTATATCAGCAGTACTTGATGCATTAGATGAGGGAGTAAGGGAGACAGAAGATGCAGGGATGCTTTCCAGGGTCCTGGCTTGGATGACTGGATACATGGTATGGCCACCACCAGAAGTAGAAGTTACAGAATGAAGAGCAGGTTAGGGGCACCGATGAATTCTGTTTAGGAAGCTGAGTTGGAGGTGGTCAGCAGGCATCTGGATATCTGATTCTGTAGGTAGAGAGTCCTTAGCACAGAGGTGGTGACATGGTAGCTAAAACCATAATGAGGGCTGAGGGCACCTGAGGTAAGTATGCAGGGTAGGGAGAGCAGTGTGCCAGGGACACAGTCTCAAGGAGGAAGCAGTAGAAGGAAGAGGAGCCCACAAAAGGCAGACAGAAGGAATGGTCAGCGAGCTACGAGCAGAATGTGCTGTCACAGAAGCCAAGGAAGAGAGAGGTTCAAGAAGGAAGATGTGATCAGAGTCAAGTGTAGTAAGAAAGGTCCAGTCAAGGGGAAAAGACTAAACAGAGCCTCTTGTACCTGATAACACAAAGGGCATTGGTGATTTTAGTAAGAGTAGCATCAGTGAAGTTGTGTGGGGAGAAATGAGATCTCAGGGAGTCAAGATGTGACTGGCAAGTTAGGAAGAAAAGATAGCAAGTGGAAGCAGAGTGTTCAAAAAGTATGGCTATAAAGGAAAACGGCATCTAGAGGAATCACAGGGTGGAGGGAGGCTTTTGTTTTTTTAAAATGGGTTAGATGTAACCATGTTTGCAGCCTGCACAGAAGGGGCCAGCGGAAGGGGAAATATTGAGAACACAGAGTGGGGATACCTAAGGCAGCACAGCCTGAGGGTGGGCAGGGAGAACGGAGTCCAGAGCATAGGCTCAAGGCTTGGCTTTGAAGAGGCACAGGGACACGGACTTCAGACTGGGCGGCAGAGGAGAAGGGAGGATAGGGGTGTGTTGTTTCATTTCACTCTTCACAGCAACCCAGAAAGGAAAAGATCAGCCCATTTTTCAGATGGGGACACCTCGAGAGGTCCCGAGGTGAAGTAAAATGCCCAAGGTTACACAGCTGGCAAGCAGTCAGTTGGGATTTGAATCCAAGTCCCTTGAGGAATTAGTTTATGCTTCCTCCATTACACACAGACTCTCCCTCAGCACTCTGCTGTCCCTGTTGCCTTGCTCTGCCTTCTCGTACACCTGCCTGCTGCCATTGGGCAGCTAGCCCCACGATGCCACTGTAACTGCTCTGACAAAAATCACCAAATACTCCTAATTTCCAAATTCAACACACAGGTTTCTCTTCCTATATGAACTTCTCCAGGGCATTTGACATTATTGATGACTCCCTCTCTGAAACTCCTCCCCTGGCTTCTGAGTCCCCACTTTCTCATGGTGACTGAGAGAAGGCAAGTATGGCATAGTGGTCAAGAGCACGGGCTCTGGAACCAGCCCGCCTGAGTTCACTTCCCATCTCCATTACCCACTAGCTATATGACTTTGGGCAAGTTATTTAACATCTCTGTTGTTCAGTTTCCTCCACTGAAAACAGGGATAATACTGGTACTTGCCTCATAGGTTGTCAGATTAAATGAGTTAATACACGGCAGAAAGCTTAGCACAGTGTCTGGTACACAGTAAGTGCTTAATAAAGGTTAGCTGCTATTCTTCTTATTATTTTATGCATCTTTTTCCTACCTCCCTGATCCCTTCTCAGTCTTTATTATGGACTCCTTTTCCTCTACTCATTCATTCACTCAGGATACATTTACTGAGCATCTTCCATGTGCCAGGCACTGTACAAGTCACCGGGGTTGTAGTGGTTAATAAGACAGCTCTGGCCTTTGCCCTTACAGAGTGCACCATTTGCTCACCTTTCCCCAGGCTCCAGGCATAGCATTCTGTTAATCTGCACATCCCTCCATGGCTCCCAGATCTCTCCCTGCAGCCCAGACTGAAGCACAGAGAGGAAAATTCATTTGCCCAAACTAGCTAGTAAGTGGCAGAGCCGTTAGGTCTGTCTTCATTGTGCTGCCTCCAGGTAATGGCTATACTGTCAGTTACTGAAGGAAATCAGGGAGGTTGGGGCCTGCTCAGTCTAACTTTTCAGCACCAGCCCTTCGGGTAATTGGACCTCCCCACACAGTTCTGGTCTCCTGGGTGCTGTACCTGGCTCAGGACAACTCCCCACCAGGCCTTAGGTCTCAACCTGGAGTGCCCGGCTGGTTACCTGCACACTTCTCATCAGCCTTGGCTTGCTGTTGCTCCTGCAGCTGCCTCTCCAGGCTGTACCTGAACTGTTCCTGCTGCATTCTCAGGCACGTGGCCCTGTACAGGTCCTCTCCAGAGAACCACTGCAGGCTAGCTGGGCCACAGTGGGGATCACTGTCACCAAGATGGGCTGGAAATTCATTCTGGAGTTGTTCTGGATCCCAAAGGTCAAATTCACGCCTGTTCTTGAGCTGCTGCTTCTGTTCCCGAAACTCCTGGACTTTTTTGGCCAGCCGACGTGTTCGTTCTGCCTGTTCCTTCTCTAGCATCTGGGCTACCAGATCATACTGCACCTGGTTGGTACCTGGGGGTGGTGGGCAGGGACATGGAGAAGGTACCACGGGAAGGACAGAGCCCACTCAGCATGGCCTCTGCTCCCAAGGCCCATCTGTTTTGTTCCACCACACCCCAGGACTCAGGCCCCACTCCGAGGCCCTACCTCAGCCCACTCACGCCCTTGCTTTTCCCCCTTGGCTGGCTCCTGGCCTTGGGTTTTTACCATAAGCTGCCTCCTTGCTCTGCTCTGTTGCCTCCCGAAGCTTTCGTTCTTCCACCTGGCTGTTCAGGGCTTCAACATCCACCTGATCCCCAAAAAATGAGCTAAATCAGGGTAGGGGCCTAGCAGCGGGCCTTGAATGCTCTAACACAAACTGCTCACAATTTACCTGCTTCAGAATCCTCCTGTAGATCCCCAATACCTACTGGATAACGTTCCACCAACTGAGCATGATTTGTAAGCCCCTCAATGGTCTAGCCTCTGCCTCTTTCTCCAGCCTCATCTCATACCCTCTTCCCCTGTCCCACCCTCAGGAGCTCTGTGCCAACAGTTCCCTGCACATCTTAGGCTTTTTCAAACTGAGAGCCTTTGCTCCAGCTACTCCCTCTACTTCGAACACTCTTTCCTCCCCTTTTTACCCAAACTCCTTTTCATCCTTCAAAACCAGCTCAGGCTTCACCTTCCTGACCCCTTAGGCAGGTGCTACTCCTATGGACTCCAGGATCCACTGTCCACATTATATTGAAGTTTGCCTTTATTGATTATCTCCTCCACCAGACTGTGAGCCCATTAAGGGCAGAGACTGGGCCTTAGTCAGCTTTGTATCCCTACTGCCCAACCCAGTGCTTGGCACAGAGCAGGCCCTGAGGGAACGCTTGCCAACTGGATCTCAATCACACCACTCATCCCTCAGCCAACTACTTTCTTGTGTCAGGCACTAGGCTCTGGTTTTTCAGAGCCACCACCATGTGTTAATACTCACTTCAACCCTTTATTTAGCCTCATTATACAGAGGAGGAGCTTGGAGCACAGGGAAGACATGTAACTCATCCAAAGCCACACCTCCAGTAAATAGCAGACCTGGCCCTTGAGCATAGGTTTGGGGCATCCCCCCTCTATCCACCCAGCAATCTATTTTTTCTTAAACTATCAATATTTTCTCTTTATTTTGATTATAATTCATTTAAAACATTTCAAAATAGTGTATGAGGGAATACAGTTTAGTGAATAGTAAACGACTTCTTTTGGCTTCATGTTGCCAGTCTCAAGAACCAGGCCACTCAGCCCATAGCTGACTGGAAAAGAGTCAGCTGTCACTGGCTCCTCTTCCCCTAGTCTCTTCCTCTGCACCCTCAGGCCCTTCCCACGCCTGGGGGTGGGTGCCATCAACCCACCTCCTTCCTCTCCAGCCCTAGGGCCTGCTTGGATCAGGGAAGGGCTATAACAGGCACTGCCACGATCTTCTCTAGGTGCAAGAGTGAGGTGGCCTCTGGTCCCGAGATAGTCCCTGCTGCCCACTCACCCCCATGACTCGGGTCCGCACATTGAAGATTCGGCTCTGTCGCTCCTTTTCTCGATTTCTTCTAGCCTCGATGGCTGCTACCTCCTTGGGATCTGGTGACAGGTCTACCTTATACATCTGGAGTAAGGGTGAGGTGGAATGGCCAATCAGTGCTGACCATCATCCTTGACTACGTGGCCATCCCCTTTCCTTTCTCCCCACAGTGTGTCACCAGTTATTGATTCCTACTGATTTTACTTCCTAATATATTTCATATTTGTGTCCTCCATCTCTGCTGTCACCACTCTAATTCAGGCCTCACAATCTGGTGCCAGACAGTATTCCCAGGAGCCTCACTGGCCTCCCTTGCTCCAGTGTTACTCTCTCTACTTCTTTCACTGCACTGGCTACCAGAGTGATCTTTCTGAAAGCAAATCTGAACATGGCACACCTCAGTTTAAAACCTTTAAAAGCGGCTTTAAAGCAAATGATTCCCCAGTATTTACAAGATAAAGTCCACCCCCCTCTGCCAGATTTATAGGGGTTTTCATAATCTGACCCCTGCTCACCTTTCCAAGTCTCAAACTCATTTACAGCCCTCCCCCTGTCACATTATGCTCTATTCAGTTTTCCCCATTTCAGTGAACAGCACCACCATTCCCCCTTTATTTATTTTTATTACTTATTCTCTAGTCAAATGAAAGGCTAAAGGGCTTAAATTTGCCTGTGTTCCTTCATATTTTAGGGAGCCCACTTCTGGCATGTGCCAAAGCCACAGCCAAAAACACTTTTGCAAACATAAATCTGAACATGCTGCTCACCTGCTTAAAATCCTCCACTGGGTTCCCACTGCACTTAGAATCAGATCCAAACTTCTTACCATTTGGGCTTTCAAGATCCGGTTCCTGCATATCTCTCCAATTCATCTCATGCCACTGTCTCCCTTGCTTACAGTGCTCTAGGCACACTGGCCTCCTATCAAGTCCTCCAACACAACAACTGTTCCCACCTCAGGGCCTTTGTACAAGGCGTTCCTTTGTTTGGAACACCATTCCTCAACTCCTCCTATAGCTAGTTCCGGTCTTTTTTTTAAAAAACCATTTTGTAAATGTGAAATAGTTGATATACATAGGAGAATATATATAACCCATATGTAAGTTAGGAAGCATGATAAATAGAGACCCAGGAACCAACTCCCCAACTTAAGAAATAGAACATGATCAATACTATTGAAGTGTCTTCTCTCTCATCCTTACTCTAAGAGATAACCACTATCCAAAATGTTACCATTCCCTTACTAATGTGCATTAAAATACTGTGTGTGTGTACAATTCCCTGAACAATATTTTTAAACATTTTCTTGTTTTGGAACTTTATAAAGTATCATGCAGTACGTATTCTTCTGCATCTTGCTTTTTTCACTGATGTTCATTCTATCATTTAACGAGTATTTGTGGAGTGCCTACTATCAGACACTCCTTTAAGCATTTGGGAGACATCAAGGAGCAAAAGTGACAAAAATCTGAGTCCTTGCGGAGGTTACTTTCTAGTGGCAGCAGACAGACAATAAAGAGTACATTAAATAATTTGTAAGAAGATAATAAGTGCTATGGGAAAAAATATAGAACAGGATAAGGGGAATTGGAAGTGCCAAGGAAATGGGGGGAGGGTTGCAATTTTAAATATGGAAGTCGGGGGAGGCATAACTGAGGTAATATTTGAGCAAATACTTGAAGAAGGTGAGGGAGTCACTTATGCAGATATCTAGGAGGAGAGCCCTCCAGGCAGAGGGAACAGTAAGTGCAAAGGCCTTAAGTTGGACATGAGGCACAGGTTCAAGGGAACAGCAGGGAGGCAAGTGTGTGAGTGAAGGAGAGAGAGGTAGGAAATGAGATGGGCGGGGGGGGGCAGGCAGAGCATGTAGGACTTTGCAGACCATTGTAAAGGCTGTAGCTTTTACTCTGAGAAATAGGCAGCCATTGGAGGGTTTTCAGCAGTGGGAGTGATGAGTTCTGCCTTTGATTAACACTCTGGCTGCTGTGTTAAGAATAGACTGGAGGGAGGGGAGGCAAGGCTAGAAGCAGCGAGACCATACGGGAGACTACTGCAGTCATCCAGGCAAGAGATGATGGTGACTTACACCAGGTTAGTAGCAGAAGAAGTGCTGAGAAGTGGTCAGATTCTGGATATATTTTGAAGGCAGAGCTGACAGGACTTCCTGATGGATTGGATGTACGGTTTGAGATCCGTATCAAGAATGACTTCAGGGATTTGGGCTGCGGCAATCAGAGGGATGGAGTTGCTATCAACCGAATAGTCTATGTAGGGAGAATAATATGGGATGGAAGGAGGATCAGGAGATCAGTTTTGGAAGTGTTGGGTTTAAGAGGTCTATTAGATATCCACTGATAGCATACAGATGGTATGGTAAATTTTATTATTGTTCAAAAAGATTTGCTGCTCTTCCCTACAGAAGGATTATACATCCTTATCTCATTGCCTTCAAGATTAGCCACGTGACTTGCTTTGCCCTCTGTAATGTGAGAATTGATACGTGCTATTCCCAAGCAGAACTAAGAGCCATTACATGATAGCCACTTTTTCTCTTCACTCTGCTATGAGACTGGCAATGTCCCAGATAAGGGCTGCTCCTTCAGCCTTGGTCCTGGAATGATGACACAGAGCAGAGATGCAGCCAACCCACAATGGAAAAGAAGCATGAATGAGAAATCTTTGTTTTTATAAGCTGCTGAGATTTTGGGGTCGTTTGTAACCTCAGCATAATTTAGCCTATCCTGACTGATACAAAGGAATTTAAAGCTATGATGCTGTAAGAGATCTCTAAGGGAATGAGTGCAGATGGATAAGAATGCCCCAGGGGAGACAGGGAGAGGAGGAGCCAGCACTGGAGGCTAAGGAGGAATGGCCGATGAGGTGGGAGGAAAACCAGGAGTGTGGTGTCTGAGAAGCTAAGTGAAGAAAGTGCTTTTGGGAGGAGAAAGTGAGCAACTGATGGTTATGTGAGATGAGGACTGAGAACTGACTGATTTAGTAACATACAGGTTGCTGATGACCTTGACAAGAACAGTTTTGGTGGAGTTGTGGGGATTAAAGCCTGATTGAAGTGGGTTCAAGAGAGATTAGGGCTCTGCAGCACAAACAACCCAGTTTATTTTCTTTTAATTGCAAGAGAAAAAGAGGGAGGAGGAACTTGGAGATTAAAAGAGACTTATATAGGGGCTGGCCCGGTGGCGTAGTGGTTAAGTTTGCACGTTCCACTTCAGCGGCCTGGGGATCATCAGTTGGGATCCCGGGCATGGACCTACACACCGCTCAACAAGCCATGCTGTGACGGTGTCCCACATACAAAATAGAGGAAGATGGACACAGATGTTAGCTCAGGAACAATCTTCCTCAAGCAAAAACAGGAAGATTGGCAACAGATGTTAGCTCAGGCCAATCTTCCTCATCAAAAAAAAAAAAAAAAAAAGAGAGACATATATACAGGTGGGAAGTTTCTCTAGCATGTATCTAGGAGTGGGAGGGCTGGATCATAGGGCATAAGCGTATTTAACTTTACAAGACAATGCTAAGTTGTTTCCCAAGGAGATTGTACCAATTCACACTTTTGCTATAGTGTATAAAAATTCCAGTCACTCCACATCCTCACCAACACTTGGTATTGCAGACTTTTTCATTTTTGCCAATTTGTGGGTATAAAATTATAATTATCTATTTTAATTGGAATTTTCCTTATTGCTAATGAGGTTGCACATCTTTTCATGTGTTTTGGCCATTTTTGTTTACTATTCTGTGAAGTGCCCATTCATATCTTTTGTTAATTTTTAAAAAAATCAGGTTGTTTGTCCTTTTCTTAATTTTAGGAGTTCCTTATGTATTCTATACACGAATCATTTCTTAGTTTAAATGTAGCAAACATCTATAATTTGTGGCTTGTCTTTTCACTTTACTATTATTTGATAATAATTTTATGGTAACAATTGATATATACAAAGGAATATGGTTAACACACATTTAAGTTATGAAGCACAACAACAAAATGAACTCCTGTGAACCCTTCACAGAATCCAGAAAATAGGACATTTCAATACTTGAGAAGCTTTGTGTGCACTTGCCCATCTTTTCACTTTTTTTTTGTTGTAATTTGGATGAATTTGAATGTAGTCAAATTTACCGATCTTTTCCTTTAAGCTTAGAAGTTTTTATTATTTAGGAAATCCTGAGCTCATAAAGATATTCTCCTATATATTTTTCTAAAATTTCTAATGTTTTGCCTTTCTCATTTAAGTTTTTAATCCTTTTGGAATTGCATTATGTATAGGGTGTGAGAGGTAGGGATCCAATTTGATTTTTTTCCCCCAAGCTCCATCTCATTTTCTAAAATGGAACAGTAGTTCCTGTCAGTTATATAAGATTGCTGTTCTTTGGTCATTTTATCTCCTCAGCCTGATTGTGACTGTTTCTTCCAGTTGAACTTCATTTATGGCTCCTCTACTAGATTCCATCAACCAAGCTTTCTCACTTTCTTGGATTTGTTCTAAGACTTTAAGACTCTTCTCAGCCTCCAGATATCATTTTTAAAATAGTTACAGGAATGGCTATTGCAACCACCAGACCCTTTCCATGTCTAAATCTAAGCACCAACCCCAGCCTACTCATTCCATCTGTCACCACAATATAAGGTCACTGAAGGGGAAGATTCGGCAGACATTTTAAGCTTCTTGGGCTGCTAAGGCCATGTCCTTAGTAATGAGCAGGTATAAGGTGATGGGGGATGAGGGGATGGAGGAGAGGGACAGAAAAGATGGGGAACAGAGAGGGGAAAGGGACAGAGAGGGTAGAGTTGGGGGGCAGAGAAGGAAAGAGGAAGGAGGGCAACAGGTCAGTTAACGGAGGTGAAGGAGCAGAGAGAGAAGAGGAAGGGGGGGAGGTAAGGGATGGGGCAGAGGGGGATGGAGAGGAGGGAATGGGATGGTGGTGAGACATAAAGAGAGAAATAGATGAAGGGGGAAGAAGCATAGAGGTGGAGAGCACTGGCTTAGGGACCCTGACTCCCAGGGATTCACGAAAAGTACCTTTCTTAGCAAGGAGTCCCAATTTTGAAGCTCCCAGGTTGGGTCAACAAGTGGCTCAGGTCCAAGACTATTTTGGGGCTACAGCAGCAGTCTCTGAACTCTGCTTGGAGGAACAGAAGGGAGGCAGGGGATAGGGGCAGAACCTCTGGCCATAGCTTTTCCCAGCCTGTATCCCTGTCGCTCCAGAGTACCCTCATCTCCATTCACACCCCATCCCCCTTTACACCCATCCCACCTCTACCTCCACCCCACTCCACCTCCAGTGCTACTCAACCCTCAGCAAGGTCTGAGCTCACCTAATACCGAATCCTCCCGCTGGCCCCTCCTTCCCGTACAGCCCTCCGTTCCCCGGAGTCCTTCCAATCCCCGACCCTGTTCTTGTCTGAGCCTTCCGGCCTGCCAGGCTAAGGCCACAGCCGAGCTCCCACCTTCCTCTTGCCCTGGAGGGCATAACCCTCCTGTGACTTCTGACTTGTCTTGGTAAGCGTGAGCTCCGGTCCCGCCTGGTTCCTCGAATCCCAAAAGCTATTGAGTCTTCCGGTCACCGCCTCCTCTACGACTTGGTAGGCTGTGGCAGCGGTTTGCGTTGCCATGCAACAAGGAAGGGGGCGGAGCCCAAACGCCTGTCGTAAGCTCGCGCCCTGGCAACGGATCAACAAAACCTCCACGCCAGCCCGAAGGCCCCGCCCCTGGTTTCCTCCCGCGCCGGAAGCCTGAAATCCCGTTCGGCCTGGAGTTAGTCTCGCGAGGTCTGCCATCCGCCCGGCCTGCACTGCGGTGTTTCCCGCGCGGGCTGCCCCAGAACCCGGGCGTACGGCGCGGCCTTTCGTACCGCCGCCGGCGCCGCCGCAGTCATGGGTTTCTTGAAACTGATTGAGATCGAGAACTTTAAGTCGTACAAGGGTCGACAGATTATCGGACCATTTCAGAGGTTCACCGCCATCATTGGACCCAATGGCTCTGGTGAGATAAACCCGGCTGCGGCCCTGCGCACGTCCCGGCCTGGACCCCCTATCTGGCAGCAGAGTAGTACAGCCCACCCGTGCAACCTGAAATGTTGCGAACCGTTAACAGGTTCCTTGTCCTGAGGGGGTTCGGTCCAAACCCGCCTTCCCCGCTCGGGTGCTCTGACTCGAAGCTCTTCCCCAGGCGTTAGTTGCCCGCTCCCGCTTTTTGCGCGGCCCCGCTCCGGCCTGAGTGGTACGAGCCCAACTGTACGTTACCTCGCCCACTGCTCCCTCCCGCCAAAAGTGGCGTGTCCCGAGCCGGCTGCCTGCTGCCGGCCGCTTGTTTCCCCGCCCGACCAGCTGGATCCGGCTTCCCCGCCTTGTTTTAACCCTCCGGAAGATGTGGGACTGCTGGTAGCCCTCCCGTGGCCTCCGGTCCCAAACGGTACACGTCTGCCTCAGCCCGGCGCCCCCTCCCGCCTCTCATTGGTACGCTCCATTTCCTCCTTTTTTTTTTTTTTTTTTTTTCCTTCCTACTTTCCTCCGGAGGCGGCACTTTTGAATTGAGGACCCAGAGGTAGCGTCTCGACCCTCCACCCCCATCTCAGAGGTGGGAATGTCTCGAACTCACCCCTTTGCTACCACTGAAACCGTTAAAAGTCGGAACTCATTCACTCGTCAAATTTATCGAATGCTTACTATTTTTTATAAGGAGTTATTCAAGGTACTGTGGAAACAGTGGAGAATAGAATAAGCCGTGCTCTAAGGGAACTTACATTCCAGAGGGGAAAGACGATAATAAAGAGAAAATAAGATAATTTTTGGCTGTGATAAGTGCTGTGCGGGATATTAGGTTGATGTGATAGAGTGACTTTCTAAAGTGGGCATCTTTAGAAAGAGTGGTCGGTAGTTACTATTGTATATTTCAAAGTTGCTAAGAGAGTAGATCTTAAAAGGTCTCATCACAAGAAAAAAAACTTAAATATGTGAGGTGATGGATGATAACTTATTGTGCTGATCGTTTTGCAATATATACAAATATGGAATCATTATGTTGTACACCTGAAACTGATACAATGTTATGTCAGTTATATCTCAATAAAACTGGGGGAAAAAAGTTAAAAAAAAAAAAATAAAGGGTGGTCAGGTAAGACCTCTATTTCGTATCTTAACTTCCCATCTCTAAATGATACACCATGGATTCCTCCCATCCACCCTCACAAGCAGTCCATTTGGAATCCTACTGTGTTCCTCCACCCCAGAGATGTTCTAGCTAAATCATTTCCTAGCTTGAGGAAGTAAGCTAGGAAATACTTGTTATCATTTCCTTGCTGAAATAGCTCAAACTGACGACCTTCCCTGGAGTCTTGCCTGGGTTTGGCTCTCTAGGTAGAGCCGAGTTTCTCAGCAGTGGCACTATTGACATTTCCAGCAAGATAATTCTTTGCTGTGGGGTCGGTCCTGTGCGTTGTGGGATGTTTAGCTGCATCCTTGGCTTCTACCCACTAAATGACAGCACCCCCACCTCCCAGGTGTGACAACCAAAAATGTCTCCATACATTGCCAAATGTCCCCTGGGGGCGGGGAGGCAAAATCATTCCCCTCCCCACTTTCTTTGACAACCACTGGCCTGGAGGTCTAATGCTTGGGGTACCACTTCAGTTTCTTAGGATTTTGGTGTGATGGCCCCTGTGGAAAGAGCCAGGATGCACCTCTTGGCATTCAGTCCCCTCAACATGGGTAGATTTGTATATGCAGCTGTTCGGAAAAGGCCTTTGGTCTGACTGCCCCGCCTTCTCCCATTCTTCAGTGCCCACCTCCACAAGGCATTCCTTGATTCCCCTGAGTGAATTGCTCTCTTCCTCTTTGGCACACAGTAGACACTTGGTACACATTTATTTTCTTCTGTCTTGTATCCACGGTATATGTTTTTGTATCTTCATCTCTGGTCTATGAGTGCCCCAAAGAAGACATTCCTTAAAACGTTTTATCAGTGTTCAACTCATAATACATATTATAAAAATGTTTACAATATTGAATGATTGTGAGTAGGGAGGGCTTTGGTTGTGAGATGTTCTTACTGTCCCTGGAAAGCATGGGAGAAGCCCAAAGGTTAGAAATGGGTGCCTAAAAGGCTGACTCCTGGTCTGCATGATGTGCTAGTCCTGCTGTTGATGAGAGAGACAGAGCTGAGTCCAGACCTGTTGTTAGGATAGGACTGCCATTTATTGGGTTCCTACTGTGTGTCAAGTACTTTATTGGGACCCTTTACATTTAAATTCTCACAATGACCCTAGGAGGGAGATACCATTATCTTCATTTTATAAATGAGGAGACTGAGGCACAAAGAGTTGTGATCCCTTGCACACTACCTGATTCTCAGAGCTAGGATCAGAACCCATGCCTGCCATACTTCAAACTCTGCTCCTGCCACTCCAACAGAGAACTATGTGCCAAGCATTGTTTTAGATGTTTTATTTATTTGTCATGGTTTTTCACATTTTACAGGTGAGGGAATGGAAGATCAGCTGAGTAGTGAAATTAAGATTAGAACCTGAAAAAAAAAAAGATTAGAACCTGGTCTATTGGACTAGAACCCAAGCTCTTAATCACTGTCTTATACTGCCTCCATGGAAGGACCTGGGCTGCCATTTTTATAGCTGGGTAGAACGGTATTGGAAATCAGGTTCTCAGTTCAAGGTCATATAACATGTTTGGGGAGAATCTTTTTTTTTTTTTTTTTTTTTTGTGACGAAGATCAGCCCCGAGCTAACATCCATGCCAGTCCTCCTCTTTTTGCTGAGGAAGACCGGCCCTGGGCTAACATCTATTGCCAATCCTCCTCCTTTTTTTCCCCAAAGCCCCAGTAGATAGTTGTATGTTATAGTTGCACATCCTTCTAGTTGCTGTATATGGGACGCTGCCTCAGCATGGCCTGACAAGCAGTGCGTCGGTGCGCGCCTGGGATCCCAACCCAGGCCACCAGTAGCGGAGTGCGCGCACTTAACCGCTACGCCAGGGGGCCAGCCCCTGGGGAGAATCTTAAGATAGAATTTATAGAGATTAAATTGTTTCCCACCACCCCCAACCCAGTCTAAATTTTTTTTAAATGTTTTTTTCTGAGTCTAAAATGAAGTAAAAACTGACTCCACTACTGGAAAGATAACCACTGTTAATGTTAATCTTATTTATTTCAGTAGCTAATACATGTACATGGTATAAAATTTTTAAAAATCCCAGGGGATGTACAATAAAAAGAAGACTCCCTTCCCTGACCTGTTACCTACTTTCCTTCCTGGAAGCGACCACTGTTACACTGTTTACATTTTCATGAATTTTTTCCTATGCCTTTCTTCTCTGCAAGTTGTTTTTTTATGAAAAATTTTAAACATACATGTGTGCTTTGCTTAATCATTTGAAAGTAAATTGCAGACTTAATGACATTTCACCCCTAAGGGATTTAGCATTCATCTCCTAAAAAGTATTAATCTGTTGTATTACCAAAATACGATTATCACACCTAATAAAATTAATTTCCTCCTCTCCTCAGTTATCCAGTTTATAGTCAAGCTTCCGTAATTGTTCCCCCAAATGTCTTTTTGGGTTTTTTTTTGGAACCGGAAACCAGAGTTCATGCATTGCCTTTGCTTATGTCTCAGTAATCTCTTGTGTTCTGGAATGGTTCTCCCAACTTTTCTTTTTAGACATTGACTTTTTGAAAAGACCAGGCCAATTGTCTTGTAGAACATCCCACATTCTGTGTTTCTCTTAAGGTTTCCTCATGGTGTCATTTTACCGTGTTCCTCTGACTGCTTTATTTCCTGTAAACTGGAAAGTAGGTGTAAAGGCTTGTTTAGATTCAGGTTAAATATTTTTGGCAAGACACTTCATAGATGATGCTGTGTGCTTCATGTTGTATCACAATAAGAATATGTCTTTTTAAAAAAATTATAGTACAATACACATAACATGAAATTTACCATCCTTACCGTTTTTCAGTGTACAGTTCAGTAGTGTTAAGTATATTCACATTGTTTTGCAACCAATCTCCTGAACTTATTCATCTTGCAAAACTGAAACTCTATACCCATTAAACAACAACTCCCTGTTTCCGCCCCCCAGTCCATTTTTGTTTTTTTTTTAACTTGGTTAAGATGAAACTATTGAGTTTTGTATCTTGCTGGTTTCTCCTATTGTGGGCATTTTCCCATGTTATTAAAGGTTGTAGAACAATCCATTCTGTGAATATACCATTTCCTTAGATGGGGTTCTAGTTTTTGGCTGCTATAAGTAATATGTGCAAAGGGACTCTTTTTCTAAGCCTTTGACCTGGGGCTTTGGTTGGGTCCTGTCTTTATGGGAGCAAGGCAGTATTCTCTCCTCCTATTAGTCTGAGCACTGAGTGCTTAGGGAACATTCCTGTTCCTCTCAATGTTTCCTTTATTCCTTCTCCTCTGCCCTTCTTCCTCACTTCCCCTCCTCTGCTTTGTCCCTTCCTCCCTTAGGTAAGTCAAATCTCATGGATGCCATCAGCTTTGTGTTGGGTGAGAAAACCAGCAACCTGCGGGTAAAGACCCTGAGAGACCTGATTCACGGAGCTCCTGTGGGCAAGCCAGCTGCTAACCGGGCCTTTGTCAGCATGGTCTACTCTGAGGAGGGTGCTGAGGACCGCACCTTTGCCCGTGTCATTGTTGGTGAGGGAGGCTAGCCAGAAGGCTCTCTTTGGTCCTGGGAGGTGGCTAGACTAGTTGGTTGGGGTAGGAAGGAGGCCTGACCCTCGGCCAACTCTTTCATTATCTTATAGGGGGTTCTTCAGAGTATAAGATCAACAACAAAGTGGTCCAGCTACACGAGTACAGTGAGGAATTGGAGAAGTTGGGCATTCTCATCAAAGCTCGTAACTTCCTCGTCTTCCAGGTGGGCGTTTTTAACAGTTATTGGCTATCTGCTTTTTGCCATCCCTTGTCTCACCCCCACTGGGCCTGTTCCATCTCCATCCAGCTTTATCATCTTTCCCCTGAAGTAATGTGGCAGCTTCCTCACTGGGCTTTCTGACTCTAATCTGGCCCCTTCCAGTTCATCCCCTAGGCCAGGTTCATCTTATGAAGACAGAAGTTTGTTTCTTTCCCTTCTCTCCTTAAAACATTTCAGTGATTTCTGATTGCCTTATGATGGTGGTTCTCAAATTGTATTCTTTGGACCAGCATCACCTGGGGCCATGTTAAAAATGCACATTCTCAGGGCCCATCCCAGACCTACAGGCTCAGAGACTATGGGGTGGGGCCCAGCAATTTGTGTTGTACCAATCTCTCCAGGTTTTTAGGATATATGCTACAGTTTGAGAACTGTTGCCTTAGCATGAAATCCAAACTCCTGTCATTTAGGAAACACCATCCTTTGGTTCTTGCCCACCTCACTATCCTCTGCCGATTCTCTTCCCCTGCAGCCCTGCAACTCCAGCCTAATTAAACCATTTACAGGTCCCCAAATTCACTTACTTTCTTTCACCTGCAGGCCTTTGCATATTAATTTTCCTCTATGTGGAATAGCCTCTTCTCTCTTACTTTCTTGGTTAGTTCTTCCTCATCTCCCAAACTCAGCTTAGATGTCACCTTTGAGAAGCCTTCCCAGATAGACACCCCTACCAGTCTCCTATCTCTAAGCTTCATTTAGTCCTTTTTTTGTGCTACTTCTGTCACTGCATGTAACACACTGTGTTATCTTTGCTTTGGTCTCTTCTGCTCCCTGTGTGCCTCGAAGGGCAGGGAATGTGTCTTCAAAGCCCAGTGTGAAATGTGGCACCCAGTGTGGGGAGGGGGTTCAGTGAACTTTTTCTGAATGATGGAGTGGGTAGGGGGAAGTAGGCTGGCTAGGGTCTAAGTGGGGAGAGTGTTTTGACCCTTACTAGGGTGCTGTGGAGTCTATTGCCATGAAGAACCCCAAAGAGAGGACAGCGCTATTTGAAGAGATCAGTCGCTCTGGGGAGCTGGCCCAGGAGTATGACAAGCGGAAGAAGGAAATGGTGAAGGCTGAAGAGGACACGCAGTTTAATTACCATCGCAAAAAAAACATTGCGGCTGAACGCAAGGAGGCCAAACAGGAGAAAGAAGAGGTAGGTGGCCAGGCTACCTCTGGGCTCTGAGGGGCCAGAATGGAGCCAGTGCCTTGCTGATGCACCCCTGCCTCCATGCCCCTATCTGCATAGGCCGACCGCTACCAGCGCCTGAAGGACGAAGTGGTGCGAGCTCAGGTACAGCTGCAGCTCTTTAAGCTTTATCATAATGAAGTGGAGATTGAGAAGCTCAATAAGGAACTGGCCTCTAAGAACAAGGAGATTGAGAAGGACAAGAAGCGTATGGACAAGGTAGAGGATGAGCTGAAGGAGAAGAAGAAGGAGCTGGGCAAAATGATGCGGGAGCAGCAGCAGATTGAGAAGGAGATCAAGTAAGAGGCAGGCCTGGGCCTGAAACTTGTGGGAAACCAAGAGGCTGTGCTGTTCCCTAGGGCTCCTCTGAGCTTGGAGTCCAGTGCCTGTCCTAGTTTCTCTGTCTTCTCCTTGACTTGCTTTGGCCAGAACCAGGTGTATTTCTTGACTTGCATTTTAGACAGAGTATTTAAGTACTCAGACTCTAGGTAGATAGATACTCAGAAGAGGAAGCACTTAAAAGGAGTGATGGCCTTGCCAAGTGAGAGGAAGCCACGGGTGGCTGGGAATGTCCTCCTAGAAGAGGAAGACTGGAGCTAGATGTTTAAAGGACAGAAATTTGAAAAGGTTAGATCAGATGGGGGATGACTGAGTGACTAGACGGTGTTCTTGGGAGTTGTTACTGGGGGGCCTGGCCTGGCTAGGGTTGAGGCAGGGGTAGTAGTTTTGCCTTGTGGAGTGGCTGGAATGCAAGGCTGAAGCCATTGATTTCAGGGAGTAGTCAGACTGCCCCTTTTTTGAGGATCTGTGGAGCATCAGGCCCTTGTTCTTTTAGGCAATTCCCTGAGGCTGGCGGGGGGGGCTCAGGCCCCCTTTATTTGGGTAAAAAGCCTGGGAACCCTACCTTCTCCCACAGGCTAACTTGTTTTCCCCTTCCCCTCTGGCAAAAGGGAGAAGGACTCAGAGCTGAACCAGAAGCGGCCTCAGTACATCAAAGCCAAGGAGAATACCTCTCACAAAATCAAGAAGCTGGAAGCAGCCAAGAAGTCCCTACAGAATGCTCAGAAGCATTACAAGAAGCGTAAGGGTGACATGGATGAGCTGGAAAAGGAGATGCTATCAGTGGAGAAAGCCCGGCAGGAGTTTGAGGAACGGATGGAAGAGGAGAGTCAAAGTCAGGGCAGAGACTTGACCCTGGAGGAGAATCAGGTGAGGGCTGAGGGGTTTGGGGAGATTGCTGGGCTGGTGTGGACTAACTTGGTCATCCCTGTCCTCCTTCCCTGTTCCTAACACAGGTGAAGAAATACCACCGGTTGAAAGAAGAAGCCAGCAAGAGAGCAGCTACCCTGGCCCAGGAGCTCGAGAAGTTCAATCGAGACCAGAAAGCCGACCAGGACCGGCTGGATCTGGAAGAGCGGAAGAAAGTAGAGACAGAGGTGGGCATGTGTTACAAGATTAGGGATGATGGTCCAGAGAAACGGAAGTAATGATAGTCTTAACAGTAATGACAGTACTAGCTAACATCTAGCAAGCACTTACCATGTGCTAGGCACTGTACTTGACATGTATTTGCTCATTTAATTCTTCATTTTCCAAAAGAGGAAACTACAGCACAGAGGTGAAGTAATTTGCCTAAGGTCACATCATTATTTAGTGGCAGAACCAGGATATGAACCTGGGCAGTCTCGTGCTAAAGCCTACACTCTTATCAAGTATACTTCACTTACTGCCTTCCTAATAACAATAATAGTAAAATAGTAACAATAATAGAAAGTTGTTATAGTACCCCAAGAGCCTACAATGTTCCAGGCATTTTGCTAAGCACTTCTTTTAAGTATTTAAAAGAAGGCAGTAGGCATTAGTATTAATAGCTACCCTGTATTAAGCACTTAATGTGTACTCTGTGAAGTGGAAGTTACCTACGTTTTGCAGATGAGAAAACAGAGGTGCAGAAAGGTCCAAAAGCTTTACTTTGCCTTGCTTTGAGCCTCCCTGATTGATGAGCAAGATAGCCCGGGCTGGGTAGAACTCTATGAGAGGGTCTCATAGGGCCCTGGGAGGCCCCATCAGTTGGCAGAGCCACACTAAACGCCGTCTGTCTGCTTTTTAGTAGATCTCCTGCATTAGTGACAGATTTTCCTGAGCTGTTGGGCTCTTGGATGAATGGGCATGTAGGGGGCATAAGCCAGGGCCCTGTGGTCTTGGAGTTAACTTGCTCAACCCCTGGTGATGGAGTATGTTCGTCTTCCTCACAGGCCAAGATCAAGCAAAAGCTGAGGGAGATTGAAGAGAATCAGAAGCGGATTGAGAAACTGGAGGAATACATCACAACTAGCAAGTATGTGGCTCTGCAACCTTCCCTCCTACTTCCAGGCCTGTTCTTAATGAACCCTCTCTGTCCTGCCCCTCCCCAGGCAGGACCCCCCAGAGTCCCTCTCAGCCAGGAATATTTTCTCACCAGCCAAGGTAACCCCTGTGTTTCCTCACTTTGTAGGCAGTCCCTAGAGGAGCAGAAGAAGCTAGAGGGGGAGTTGACAGAAGAGGTGGAGATGGCCAAGCGCCGTATTGATGAGATCAATAAGGAGCTGAACCAGGTGATGGAGCAGCTGGGGGATGCCCGCATTGACCGCCAGGAGAGCAGTCGCCAACAGCGAAAGGCAGAGATTATGGAAAGCATCAAGCGCCTGTACCCTGGCTCTGTGGTAAGAGTGGAGAGGGAACTCATTTCCTGAGCACTTACTCTCATGCTCACTGTCAGATAATTTTTCCAGCAGCCCTGTGAGGAAAGGATTGCTAATGTCATTTTTACAGCTGGGGAAACTGAGGCTCAGAGAGGTTAAATGACTTGCCCACAGCACAGCTTATAAGTGGAAGAACTGCAATTCAAACCCAACTTGTTCTGACTCTTAACCTCATGTTTTTTTCATCACACCAATTGTGTCTTCCTGAAGGTTTTGTCTTGCTGTGTCTCCTCCTCTGTGGGAGGCGGAGAAACTGGAGAGACCTTTGGAAGGGGGAGGGGCCATGAGGCAGGAATTAGTCACCCAGGAGGTAGCTCTGTGCAGGCTTCCATGTGAGTTCCCTTGGCATGTACCAACCAGCTCATTTGCTTGTGGGGACATCCCAGGCTTTATCAGATCTCTTGGCCTCTTGAACCAAATCCTGAGAACCCAGGTTCCCTGAATATTATCCCTCTATTGCTGTAATCCTGTCCCTGGGTTCAACTTAATTTGGTTCCACAAATGTTTCCTGTTCTCTCCTTTAGACACTGGTAGGGAGTTTATAGGGATGAATTAGGCTCAGTCCCTGCTGTTGAAGATCTTACCCTTTATCTGATAGTTCTTAGGGAATCGTGGTTTGGGGGGCATGAAGGAAGTGAACTGGAAAAGTTTATTTTGGTGGGTGCTTGTGAGAATTTGCGATATTGTATATGAGGTATCTGGCATAGTGCCTGGGGTGGCAGTGGTCTGTGAAATGGTAAAAGTGAGGTTTAGAAAGATGATTTGGGATTCAGACATGACTGCCTGAAGTTGTTGTTGCTTTGGGGCCAGAGTAGGCTTCTACTCCATAGCATGGGCACTGTGTTCCTCATACAGATTCTGGTCTGCCTCCCTTTCCAAGCTGGGAATTGGGGTTCCTGAGCCAGCTCACAAAAGCCTCATTCTTCAATTTTCTCTTCTGACTTTCCTTAGTATGGCCGCCTCATTGACCTCTGCCAGCCCACACAAAAGAAGTATCAGATTGCTGTAACCAAGGTTTTAGGCAAGAACATGGATGCCATTATCGTGGACTCAGAGAAGACAGGCCGGGACTGTATTCAGTATATCAAGGAGCAGCGTGGGGAGCCTGAGACCTTCTTGCCACTTGACTACCTGGAGGTGAGCTGGTGGGGATGGGGTCAGGGCAGTGTGAGAAAGCCTCTCCTCCTAGCCTTCCATGTTCTGCCACTTACTGAGCTTCTTCCCACAGGTGAAACCTACAGATGAGAAACTCCGGGAGCTGAAGGGGGCCAAGCTGGTAATTGATGTGATTCGCTATGAGCCACCTCACATCAAAAAGGCCCTGCAGTATGCTTGTGGCAATGCACTTGTCTGTGACAATGTGGAGGATGCCCGCCGCATTGCCTTTGGAGGCCACCAGCGCCACAAGGTATGGATTCCTTTGCCCAGATTGGAGCTGGACAGGCTTAGTAGTGGAGATTCCTCTGTTCAGCTTCTCTCCCTCTCCTTCTCTCTTCTCCTTACTGTGTGTAGACAGTGGCACTGGATGGGACCCTGTTCCAGAAGTCAGGAGTGATCTCTGGTGGGGCCAGTGACCTGAAGGCCAAGGCACGGCGCTGGGATGAGAAAGCGGTAGACAAGTTGAAAGAGAAGAAGGAGCGGTTGACAGAGGAGCTGAAAGTAAGCCACGGGCAGCGCTGTCCCTAGGAGTTGGGTCCTGAGCCCAGGCTGGCTGGTCACCTAACCACCTAGCCCTTCTCTTTTGTCCACTTCAGGAACAGATGAAGGCAAAAAGGAAAGAAGCAGAGCTTCGTCAGGTGCAGTCTCAGGCCCACGGACTGCAGATGCGGCTCAAGTACTCACAGAGTGACCTAGAACAGACCAAGACACGACATCTAGCCCTGAATTTGCAGGTGGGGCCTGGCCTTCAGCCCTGTTTTCCAAATGCCATCCTCACATTCTTGGCCGAGGTTTCTCTGGGGGTGGGGAACTTGTCCCAGATCCCTCTCTCCTCCCAGGCAGATAGCCAGAGGTTCAGGTCTTGGCTCTGTATGACATTAGGCAAGTTAACCTCTCAGTGTCAGTTTTTTCATCTTTATCTGTAAAGTGGGAGTTAGAATAATACCTGCTTTGTAGGGTCGTTGCAGAGATTGAATGAATTAATACATGTCAAGTGTTTAGATTGATTTCTCACATTCAGTAAGTGCTCAGTAAATATTAGGTGCTATTGTTAGCATAATTCATTCATTCAACAAATATTTGAGCTTTTTCTGAAAGTGAATTGAAAGTGAGCTATAGGCATTTCAGTCCCTGTGGGGATGGGGGGGACTCTTCTAGGTATATTAACGTGTTTGATTATTGGGTGCTTCCCCAGACCACCCTGGAGGTGTTATATAATCTGCAGTATATATATCATTTTACTTTTTTCTAAAATCAAAAAGTCTGTATTCTAAGGGTTATAGATAAGGCAGCGTGGACCTGTAAGTAATAATGTTTACCGTGTGCCCAACCCTGTGGATTGAAACTGGCTGACTGGAGGCCAGGGAGGAAGCTGTGTCATGGTTCAAGTGAGAAATGAGGGAACTTAGACTGTGGCAGTGCCAAGTTACGTTCTCTCAGTGTGTGGAGAGCTGTCCCTTCCTGTCCATGGGGCCAGTGTGCTTGGGGTGGCTCTTTTCCTTCAAGGAGCCTGGTCTCTTTTGCCCTGTCAACCCTGTTTCCTGCAGGAAAAGTCCAAGCTGGAGAGTGAGCTAGCCAACTTTGGGCCTCGCATCAATGATATCAAGAGGATCATCCAGAGCCGAGAGAGGGAAATGAAAGACTTGAAGGAGAAGATGAACCAGGTTGGTAGGGGATGAGCCATGCCAGCATGTGCATCAGGACAGGACTGGGGCTTGAAGCAGCACTCTGACCCAAAGGGCCTTTGCACTTCCTTGCTTTTCCCCTCAGGTAGAGGATGAGGTTTTTGAAGAGTTTTGTCGGGAGATTGGTGTGCGCAACATCCGGGAGTTTGAGGAAGAGAAGGTGAAGCGGCAGAATGAAATAGCCAAGAAGCGGTAGGTGGAAGTGTGGGTAGAAGAGGAGACTGGGATACCCTTGAGCCCCCAGCTTGACATCTTGGGAATCAAGTGCCATCATAAGGCAGGGAGCAGCTCTTAGAACGATGGATGTTTATTGTAGGTCGACCTTAAAGAACAGGGACATCAGGGAGCCTTTATGGCATAGTCTAGTGGTTAAGAGTGGTTTACCTGGGTTAAAATCCTAGCTCCACAGCTCATTATCTTAGGCAGTGACTTGACCTTTCTGAGCCCCAGTTTCCTTATCTGTAAAATGAGATGATAATGATATCTGTCTCATGGCATTTGTTGTTGGGTGGATCAGATGAGATAATCCTTGTAAAGTATTCAGCATAATATTTAGCACCTACTAAGAGTAATAAATATTAGTTTTTATTATTGTCAATATCCTGATGGGTGATGCAGGAGGGGAGGAACGAAGTTCCAGGTTGGAAGGATAGTAAGAACAAAACAACAGTTTCTCCTCTCTTCCCTACTTTAGTTTATTCTTCGTTCAACAAACCTTTCTTGAGTACCTACGTTGTGCCAAGTTGTCCTGTGATAGGTATTGGAGGAGGCAGGGAGATGGGGGTAAGACAGATGAAACAACAGTCTCTCTCAAGGAGGTCACCTCCTGGACCCTGGGCCTCAGTTCATCTAGCCCATTACCCATAAAGTAAATATTCATTGCTCTCCTACCCCCAGTCTAGGCTCAAGGGATATAGAATTGAATTAGAGACTGTCCCTGTCCTTAAGGAGTTATGGAGTAGTGGGAGAGACAAGTAGATCAATAATTTCAGAGCAGTGTGATCGATGCTGTACTTGGGGTAGATAGAAAATACAGAGGAAATGTTCAAGGAACTGCAAATCAACAAGAGGAAAAATAAAAATGAGAGACTCAATAGAAAAATGGACAGGATATAGTTAGTGTTTCGTGGAAAGAGAAGCTCAAAATGGCTGATAACTGTGAATTGATGTTCAGTCTCATTCCTAAGCAGAGAAATGCAAATTAAAACAATCTAGCAATATTTGATGAAAATAAGTCTATATAAGCCCTATGATTTAACAAAGCCACTCCTGGATATATATTGCAGAGAGAGTCACAGAGAGACAGATTCAGGGTTGTTCATCTTGGTATATAATTTGTTAATGGGACATTGGTGGCAATGTAGACGACCATCACTAGAAGAAAGTGTAAGTTAAATGTGATGAATATACAGACTATGGAATACTGTTCAGTTCAAAGCAAGAACTAGATTTTCAGGCAGTAGCATAGATAAATATAACACCGTCCATTTGTATAAATTTAAAAACAAAATGACATACAAGGATATGTGTTTTTAAGGCCCTATACATATGTATGTATGTATAGATATGTACGTCACTTTGGAGTACATGCTCACTGTAGGGAAGATAATGGGAGTGGAAATCAGGGATTGAACCAAAGGAGACAAGGGTCTTGCATAGACAGCGATCATAAGTGTGTTATGAGCTGTGGGATGATTAACTCAGCTGCACCAAAAAGGGAGGAACTCAACAGAGTGTAATAGAAACTAAGAACTTGCTCACAACCATCAGGAAAGGTTTTACAAACAAGGAGTGATGGACTGGAGACCTGTAGAGTGAGTAGGATTTAGCCAGCTGGGCAGCAGACAGAAGAAGGGAGTTCCAGGCAGTGAGAACAGCATGCTTGGAGGTGTGAGAGAGCATGCCTTGTTCTGGAAACTAAGTAGTTTTGAATGTCTGGAGCATAAAAATGGGGTCAGGAGGAAGGTGGGGGTGGTGGAGAGGTCAGCAGGGGCCAGATCACAGAGGACTTTATGAGTCATGCTTGGGAGATTGGACTTAAAATTACATAGCTCAAAATTATAGAGTTAATTACATTCCATTTGGATTACAGTGACTAATAGGTTTAAGCTGCTAGCATGACATCTGGTAGCATCTGTCACACCATATTGGGGGGGGTGGGGGGCAGTTGGAAGTTAGCTCTGCCTGGCTGCTAGTGTCTGTATGCTGATTTCATATTCTTTGAGTTTCTGAAGAGATGGGGAGGAGAGTAATAGCAGGACTCTAGTACTTTCTCCATGTTTTTTGACTACACAAGCTCTGCCCCGTAGAGGTTCTGGAATCTTGGTGCAGGGGTGCATGCGTTGGGGCAGTAGTTGGAAAGAGTCAAAGCCCATGGGCAAATATGAGCTGAATACAGCCAGTATACCTGGCGATAATGATGGTAACTAAAATTTACTAAGTACTTACTGTGTGCCAGGCATGGTTCTAAGGACTTTATATGTATTAACTCGTTAAAAAAATCTCCCAGTAACTCTGAGGTAATTAATATTATTATTTCCATTTTACAGATGAGGAAACAGAGGCATGGAGAGTATAACTAACTTGCCTGACATTACACCACTAGTAAATGGCAGAGTTGGGATACCAGTTCTCTTATCCCACCACATTATATTGCAGTGATGCCATAGGAGAAGGAGCCCAGGTTTTGGTGATAGACCTGGGTTCCAATCTCACATGTGCCATTTACTAGCTGCGTCGCCTTGGGCCAGGTCTTTTACCTCTTAGCCCAAGTTTCCTCGTTTGTAAAATTAGGATAATAATTCCTACTCGTGGAGCTATTGATTAGAGGATTAGAGGTAATGTATGTAAAGTACACAGAAGCTTAATAAATAAGAATTATCATAGCTGGTGGGTTCAGGTGGACCTTTTTGTGTCTCCTCTTAGGAACTTGAGGGGGCCACGGAGTCCTCCGGTGTGTAAAGGGGGATTAATGTAGTTTGGCCCAATCTCCCCTACCTTGTGCCATATCCACAAGGCTAGGCTGAGGAACTTAGTTCCCCAACTTCAGGGGATAGTTTTATGTGTCTGCAAGTGGATGAGCTGAGTGGTGACTGATATTCAGCAGTAACTGAGGTCCTATGCCCTGGGCCTGGTTCTCCTTTCTCCCCACAGTTTGGAGTTTGAAAATCAGAAGACTCGCTTGGGCATCCAGTTGGATTTTGAAAAGAACCAACTGAAGGAAGACCAGGATAAAGTGCACATGTGGGAGCAGACAGTGAAAAAGGATGAAAATGAGATAGAAAAGCTCAAGAAGGTAAGGAGAGCATGAAAAGACAAACTAAAAATTGGGAGGAAAAATTGGAAGAGATATGATAGACAGAAGAGTAATATCCATAATTTACAAAGCCCTCATCTAAATAAGAAAAACACCAAAACCTAAATGGAGAAAAAATGAATAAGTGGCACAGTTCAAGAAGAAATTCAAATAGTCCATAAACATATACACATAATTTAGCCTTACTAGAAGTCAAAGAAATGCAAATTAAAGCAACAATCAGATGTAGTTTGTTTCCATCACATTACCCAATTTTCTTTTTTAAAAAAGGATAATGCTTAATACTGGCCATGACGCACGAGACCAGCATTCTTGTGCCGTATGGCACCATCCATCAAGAGCCTTCAGAATACATTTATCCCCTCTAACTCAGTAATACCGGAGGAAATCCAAAATACTGGCACACAGGTTGATGCACGCAGGTTGATGTTTATTACAAGCATTTATAGTTCCATATTGGAAACTGTCCAGTGCCCCCTGGGAATTAGGAATTTAGCAAATTATCTTACATTCATATAAGTATTTGTGTAGTTTAATGGTCTTCAAATTTTAGTAATATACAGACCCACTTTAAAGATTAAGATCTCCGGTGTTGCCTTAAAAATCCTTACTGTTAAATATATACAAACATACATACTGAGAACACTTAACCAAAAGCTGGGACAAACTTACAAATTGAATTTTATAATTAACCACGATAATTCAGCACAACAGATGATGGTGTTTTGCTGAAACCAAGTCCCTTTTCACAGTGCCCCTGTGCTGCTGACTACCAAGGCTCAGTTCCTTTGAGTTGAGCATGCCTGTGCCGCTGGGTATTGTCTGACGACTCACTTTTCCCACACTCCTTCTCTTTAACTTCCTGTGAAACCTTTGTTCCTCACAGTACCCGCTCCTGAGGTGATTTGGTCCTCACTTGGTTTGAACATACCATTTGACTTCTATATCTGCTTATGTCTGTTGTTAGTTAGTTTTTTTCATTAAACCCTGATGGTTTGGTGTCCCCAGAATCTTAAATGCACATGCAGATCGGACAGTAAAATCCTGGGGCAGGCCTAGGTGGACATCTAGATGATCCAGAATCATTTCTATGACTTTTTGACTTTGAAGTCTTTTTAAACATAGCAGAAAGTTACAAGAATAATACAAAGAACTCCCAACTACCCATCACCAAGATTCATCAGTCATTAACATATTGCCATATTTGCTTTTGCATTCTCTATGTATGCATATTATTTTTTATGAGCCATTTGAGAGTAAGTTGCTGATATGCCCCCTTCATGTGACTTTAAGATAAAAATGAAAATAAAAATTCTCCTTTAAAAAATCAGGACATTATAAGTAAGACTACAATCCCCTTTGACCACTCATTCCCAGTCTCCTTACTCTTCCTGGGCTAATCCCATGTAGTGTGTGTTCTTCCAGACCTTGTAGGCATTTACTTAAATATTTTTACATTCATATATGTGTATTCATAGAAAATACACAGTATTGTTTGTGTGGGTTTTTAAAAAAACATTGATGTTGTTATATTGATCATGACAGTAGTTTTGATGTGGAAAAGATGCTCAAATATAATTTTAAGTGAGAATGTAGAGGATTGTTGTGTTTTTTTGTCTGAGGAAGATTAGCCCTGAACTAACATCTGTGCCAGTCTTCCTCTTTCTTGTATGTGGGTTGCTACCATAGCATGGCTGACGAATGATGTAGGTCTGCGCCTGGGATCTGAACCCATGAACCCAGGGCCGCTGAAGCAGAGCACACTGAACTTAACCACTATATCACGGGGCCAGCCCTAGAATATAGTTTTAATTACAATCTAGTCTTAACTATGTAGAGCTGTCTATAAGTAATGCTGGGAGGAAGTATGCTACAATGTTAATTGGTTATCTTTGGCTGGTGGGATTACAAGTGATTTGTTTTTTCTCTCTGCTTTACTTTTAACTTTTCTACAGCAGGCAACTTGTATAATGTTGTGTGCGGGGGAGGGCATCCAAATAATTTGGCAAAAGATAAAAGAAGCCTAAGGGATGATGGGGGTATGTGAAAGCAGAGCTCATTGAGAGAGGCTCCAACAAACCGCCTGGTGGAAAGGGTGGGGGCAAGGGGAGATGGGGAAAGCCTTCACTTCTTGTCCTGTTCCCCCTGCTGGGACCAGGAGGAGCAAAGACACATGAAGATCATAGATGAGACCATGGCCCAGCTACAAGACTTGAAGAATCAGCACCTGGCCAAGAAGTCAGAAGTGAATGATAAGAATCACGAGATGGAGGAGATTCGTAAGAAACTGGGGGGCGCCAACAAGTGAGTGGGTTCAGGCCTGGGGTTGGGGGAAGTAGGTAGAGCAGGCAGCCTGCCAGATTTGGGTCTCATGTATCTCCCTGGATCTTCTTGGGGAAATGACCCATTTACAGAAGGAGGTGACAGCCATTGAGACCAAGCTTGAACAGAAGCGCAGCGACCGCCACAACCTGCTACAGGCCTGCAAGATGCAGGACATCAAGTTGCCGCTGTCTAAGGGCACCATGGATGATATTAGTCAGGAAGAGGTGAGTATTACGGCTGGTGGTGGGAGTAGGCTATGAACAACATTGACCAGGGATGGGGGATGAAAGTGGCCAGTGAGGGCAGGTGAGTGAGAGAGAGAGAAGGATAGTGGGTGGGGCTCGTGAGGGACATAAGGAGGGATGCAGGGAAGATGAGGCAGAGCGAGGCTGTGAAGGTAGGTGAGGTGAAAGGTAATAGCCTTGGTGTGAGAGGCAAGTTGAATGGAGGGTAGAGCCATGTGTCAGTAGGTGGTGAGGGAGGTAAGCCAAGAGAAGATGAAATCATTCATTAACCTTAGGGATTTGAGCTATGTTGGCTCCAGCAGGTGATGGATACTGGTAGGAGTGGGAATTGAGGGACATTAGCCAAGAGCAAAGGAAGACAGAAGCTGGGGGACCTGAGGGACGATGGCTTAGCTGCAGTGAGGGAAGTTGGCCAGGAGAGGGTTGGGTAAGGGAAATCAGCAATGCAGAGGTGACGAAGCTTAGTTATAGGAAAGGGAGGGACACTAGGTGATAGAGGAGCCAAGGCGTTTTATCCACTAGAAGTGAAGCTTGCTAGCAACAGGTGGGGAATGTTAGCTGAGAGGAGGTTTGCGTATATCTTGTCTTAGACCTGGACATGTATCTCAGTCCCGCATGTCTTTTTCCCTTCCGCCTTCCCAAATAGCGTTTCAGTTTAATTCAGCAAAATATTTTGAACACCGGAAATGTGCCTGGCATCACGGTAGCAGGTGGTATAATTACTCTGAATCCTAAGCACAGCCCTGCCGGCAGGCAGGCATTGTCCGGTGTTAACAGATGAGGGAACTCGGGATCCGACAGCATGGTTTGCCCAGGATCACAGCACTAGGCAGTGGTAGAGCCTAATTCTGAGCTCAGGTCTTTCTGCCTTCCAAGCTGCTGTCCTCCTGCCACAAGTGCTTTCTAGTGAGGTGCTTCTCAGAGACATTGAAGGCTGCAAAGGAGCCCCCAGCTTCCTCTAGAGGGGCACTCTCATGGCCAGTCTGTTCCATCTGACTCTCCCTCTCGCCGATGCAGGGTAGCTCCCAAGGGGAGGATTCAGTGAGTGGTTCCCAGCGAACTTCCAATATCTATGCACGAGAGGCCCTCATCGAGATTGACTACGGTGACCTTTGTGAGGATCTGAAGGTGAGGATCAGCCTCGGGGGGTGGGGACATCTTCCCAGCTGTCCAAGAGAGGGTCAGTCCATCTGGAGGCCCTGTGGAGACCACGACTGGAAAGAGGGGAGAGCTGGCAAGGGAGGGAGGGTTAAGTTATGATCCAGGGTCCCCCCCACCCCATATACAGACATAGGCACATCTTTCACCCCCATCCCTGCCTGCTGCCAGTCTTCCCCTTCCTCGCGTGTACAAGTCAGCCCAGATCGCACACAAAGAACGGGCTCCTGTACAGTGAACAGATAGGCCTTGGGTGTTCCTCGGGGCTCCGTCCTAGGCACTGTTTCCTTCTCACTTTGCCTTCTCTCATCCTGGTTATCTCTTTTACTCCCCTGGCTTCAGCTGCCATCTCTATGGTAGGTCTCACAGTTACCTCAAACCCCAACCTTCCTCTCCAAATCTGCCTTTTGTCCTCAGTGCCTGCCACAGGTTCAAACCAGAAATCTGAGCCTCATCCTTGACTCCCTCTCTCACTTTGTATATTCAGTGAATTACCAAGCCCTATCCATTCCACGTCCTAAATACCTATTGAATTCTACTGTTTTCTGTTTCCACTGTCTCTCTAGTGCAGGCTGCTTTCACCTCTCACATGGACTAATGCAAGAGCCTCCTAAATAGTTTCTGATGCTTTTCAATCCATCATTATACCCAGGGGGACTTGAGTTTTTAAAAAGCTTTTTATCATGGAAATTTTCAAACATATACAGAAGTAGAGAGAATAGTATAATGAAGCCCAGGTACCCATCACCCAGCTTCAACAATTAGCAACACATGCTCAATCTTGTTTTTTTATACCCTTCCCCCTCCCCATTGGACTATTTTAAATCAAATTCCAGATATTATTCCCATTCATAATTACCTCAGCATATATCTCTAAAAGGTCTTTTTTTAAAAAATATAACCACAATATTGTACCAAAAAATTTTTAATACTAACTCTGTGATATCATCTAAGATTTAGATTTATATTTCCATGAATGTCTCATAAATTATTTTTACGTAGTTTGTGTGTTTAAATAAGGATTCAAGTGAGGTCTGTGTGGTAAAATTGATCTCTTCTAGTCTATAACATTTTCTTATCCCTTTTATTTATTTATTTATTTGCTGGGAAAGATTCTTCCTGAGCTAAAATCTGTTGCCAATCTTCCTCTCTTTTTTTGTGTTTTCTTCCCCAAGGCCCCAGTACATAGTTGTATACTCTAGTTGTAGGTCCTTCTAGTTCTTCTATGTGAGCTGCCGCCACAGCACAGCTGCTGACAGACGAGTGGTGTGGTTCTGTGCCCAGGAACTGAACCTAGGCCGCCAAAGCAGAGCAAACCAAACTTGAACCACTAGGCCATCAGGGCTGCCTCCCCTTTTATTTTTTTCTTCCTGTTTATGGAAGAAACTGGGTCATTGGTCCTATACAATTTTCTACGTTCTGAGTTTGGCTGATTATGTCCCATGATGTTATTTAACATGTTCCATCCCTGTATTTCCCATAAACTGGTAGTTAATCTAGAGTTTGATTGGATTTGGGTTCATTTTTTATTTTTGGCAAGAATATATCATAGTTGGTGCTGTGTACTTGTGAACTTGCTTTTGCATCGCATCAGTAGGCACTGAATGTCAGTTCTCTCTTTCTCTGTGATGTTGAAATTGATGAGTGTTCAACATTACCTGAGACGTATTCTTGCCAAAAACTCAAACATGGATCTGATCAAGTTTCTACATCCACCAGTTATAAGAAACACGGGTGCCAGAGGAGCATATTAAATAAAAGCACAGGGATGCAGTTAGCTAAATCCAGACTGTGGGGAACTCTAAAGCACAAAAGACCTGGTCTCTTCCATAAATGGAAGAAAGAAAATAAACAGAGAGGGAGAGCTTTTATAGACTATAAGAGACAAATCAACCAGTTGGAATGTGTGGCCCTCCCTTAAATCCGTTGCAACGAAAAGAGAGGAAGGGGTACTTAGATAGATTAAATGAGACTTGAGACATATCAACCAATTGCATTATATGCACCTTATTTGGAACCTGCTTTGGAAAACCTGTAAAAAAATTTTTTATAAAATAATCAGGATGATTTGAACACTGACCAGATCATTTATGATGTTCAGGAATTGCTGTTAATATTTTTAGGTGAGATAATGGTATTGTGGTTTTATTTTTAAATGTCCTTGTCTTTTACAGCAGTGATTCTCAATGGGGGATGGGGTGGATTTTGCCTCCCCTGGGGATATTTGATAATGTCTGGAGACACTTGTCACATGAACATGTCACAACTAGGGCAGAGATTACTACTGGCTTCTAGTGGGCATCATGCTGCTAAACATCCTACAGTACACAAAGGATAGCCCCCACACCAACGAGTCTGGCCGAAAGTGTCAATAGTGCCGAGATCCAAAAACCCTGATTAGAGATACATACTGAAGTATTTATGGATGAAATGATGTCTGAGATTTGCTTTGAAGTAATTGGATATAGAAAGGAATTGGGTATAGATGGCGGAGTATTAGCCACGAGTTGACAATTATTGAAGCTGGGTATGGGGTACATGGGGGGGTTATTGTATTATTCTCTGCATTTTGGTGTATGTTTGAAAATTTACATAATAAAAAGATAAAAAAAGGAAATCACGATCACTAGGTTCAGCTGTTGTTAGCCCCATAAACTTGTTTTTTCTTTTGCTCTTTTTAATTTTTTTTAGTATGCTTGTTGTAATCCATTTCTTTTTTTTTTATTGTGGTAACATTGGTTTATAACATTGTATAAATTTCAGGTGTACATCATTATACTTCTATTTCTGCATGGATTACATCATGTTCTCATGTTCACCACCCAAATACTAATTACAGTCCATCACCACACACATGTGCATAATCATCCCTTTCGCCCTCTTCCCTCCCCTCTT